TCTGATCGTATAAGTTAATTTTCTCCGTGTATTGTAACCTTTTTGCCTCTCTGGCGGGTGTTTCCTTGGCGGGTGTGGGGTTGGAATATTGCTGTAGGCTGTGTCTTTGGATTTTTGGATTACTTTTTCTCTAGCGGAGTGGTTATTAGTTCGTTGGAATGAAGTGGCCTCCGGGTGCGACATAATCATTTCTTTCTTGAGTGTGGTTGTCTTGGTTGGGTCATAGGTCTATTGGTGAGTTTTCTGTGCTTTTAACCGACGGTGCGACTTCTTTAGGCCACCCTCGTGGTAATTTTTCCGTTACCGTTAATCGAATTTCGTGCATTCAACCGTAATGGAATTGTGAAACTGATTGTTATGTTGTACTTTCCATTTTATAACAATAAAATTTTTCATCATTGAAAAAGGGTGAAGATTATATATACTATATGCAACACAAAATCTGTTCATGTGCATGTATTAATTATTCTGTATACATTTGAAATTTTTGACTTTGATTAGGACCGCACGTGACACTTCGTGGCCTTTGTCATATCTTAAAATCTTAAGATGTCCTCAAGTTTCCGCATTTAACAAGAGGATGAGATTAATGTTGCTCTCGCGATCATAAAAAACTGCTTAACATACTTATAATCATCATCTTTTAGCAGATATTCTTTATAAAAAAAAGAAATTGATTATAATCATATAAGCATTATAATTAATAATACATTATGACAAAGCACACACATTATTTCAAGCAGCTAGATTGTTGTGCAGTGATGAAAAGTTGGAATGGTGAAATAAAATAGCAAAAAATCGAATATATTTGAGAATTTTTTTTAATAAATGTCTAATAATAGTATAAAAGAAAGTAAATATTAAAATATGATGAAAATTATAAATGTTAATTACAATCTAACTGCTTGAAATAATCCGTGTTCTTTGCCATAATGTGCTGCCAATTATGTTACTTGTTGGTTGTAATTCTTAATAGAACTACGTATGAGCAATTTAATTTTCTGTATTTTGATAATTCTCCTTGACCATTTTATAAATACTCTGATTTACTCGGATCTTACTCTGATTTTACTCGGGACATTCTCAGGAAATGATTGTATGCCAATCATTTCCAATTCCAAATTTTTGTCTACCGAGTGTACATGTATTACAAAACAAAAATTATTGCTAGTGTAATTTTACTGTAATTCCAATGAATATATTTATTAGCTCTTGTATGGCATTCGAAAAATTCACTTGAAATTCATAATTAATTCCCTATTATGACAGTCATGTATAGGTAATACGAGATTGTAGTTATCAGCTCTACATTTCAAGCATAATTGCAGAATAACATATAAAGATGAACGTGTAATGAAGTATATTATATTCTGTCATACATAAGAAATCGAATTGTAACTTGAAAACGTGCAAAGACAAGATGTTTATAAAGCGTTTTCAACGCCACGAACAGAATATGTATTTTATTAATGAATAATACTCGAACAGTTATTATGTGTGGAAATGCATCTCAATCTATGTACCCAATCTCATGATAGACGCGAATCGAAAAAATGTATATCAGGGCATATATATATATATATATAATGCTTAAAAAACGAAAAAGAACAAATACTGTATATTATAATGCTCCAGTGAATACGAAAGGATGTTTTATGCAAACTTACATATTCCTAATTAATTTTTTATTCAATTTGCTGACAAGTATGATTAATTGTTTTTTAATCATAAATACATATGTATTCACATAGCGCGTATATAATACATGTATCTCGTTTAATAATAAATTTAGTTTACAAGAACGACTAGTTCATCTGTTTCAATTGTCACTCAAGAACAATCTTCTTTTCCTCTATTACCAATCGGTTCAATATCTAATAAAGAAGTTTTCAATTTTGGTTCGATGTCATCAAAGAACATGAGGAAAATCCTAAAACATTTAATTTCGAATAACTAATGCAGTTTCACAAATAATGACAGTGAAATTGCTTTATTTACACCAAAATATGCTGTTTCATCAGCAATTTATGTCAAGAAACTAATGATGCTGTGAGAACAATACTTGTAAAGGGAATGGCGTTTATGAAACAACGTTCGAAAGATCATCTCGCCAGAGGCTCCAAGCAGATTTAACCTCCAGAAAATGTGCGCATCTTATAAAAGCTTTTCCGAACTGAAATAATTTATTTCCTTCGCTATATTCATAAAAGAATGAATTTTCAAAGTGTAAATTTTAAGATTTATCGGCTTTATATTTTAATTATTTTCTAAAATTAATTCGTTTTTCCTTAAATCTGTAAAAGTTCTAACAGCAGCGGTTCGTGTTTCTTTTATAAGTGATCGTTTTTTCATTTATCTTATTTTATTATTATTTTTATTTTTGCTAGAGAATAAAACTTCATTTCGCATATTAGAATAATGGGACGTATTAAAAGAATCATTCTACGAATCCACTTTATATAGATAAATTCTCCTTTCTCATTTAATCTGTTAACAAAGAATGATGTGCCTTTTTTTGTACAATACGGTTTAGAATAGTGAAGTTAAACAGTGATTGAACTACAGTGTTTATATCATTATCATTACGATTATAAGATATAAAGATCCTTTCCTTCCAAAACTTGAAACCCTGAACAATGAATCAATAATTAGCGTTTGAAACCGGTTAAGCATTAACCGGAGGCTAACTGGCAGTTTTATAAATTAATAAAATTGGAATTCCGTCATCGCTTTTATGTTAGTGAGTGCCTCTTTTTATGGTGCTTTCTTGAACTATGTCATCTTTCCAATCATCTCTGAAGCTTCCTTGAATGCGAAATCTAGTTCTTCAAACTAGATTAATCTGTTTGTATATAAACTACGGTTAACCGGGCTAACTACATACCAAAACCGTCATAGCCTAGACCGACCAGTTAAACACACATTCCCTACAATTTTTATTTATTTAATTATTTTTATTTTAATCTTTATAAATTAAACAATGAAAACCCTTGATTAATAAAGAAATAAGGCAATTGCTCAATGAAGGAGTATTATATATAAATGAAAACTTTTTTATTTAAAATTAAATAAGGAAATTAATGAATGAAAACCTTTATAAAATGAAAAGAAGGAATGAAAAAATTATTAAAACTACGTAATAATTGGGCTTGAAATGTAAAATTTCCTTATTAAGGAATTAAACAATGAGATCTAAATTAGGGATTTGAACAATGATCAGGAAATTATAAACCGTGGACTGGGTCACAAGTCTAATAGTGCATTTTAATTGGCTCATTTTAAGTCCAGGTTAATGGAATATATAATTTTGGAGACGTTTTGAATCTAACTTCTACACGTAAAGTAAATAGAACATTTTGCATGTTGAATCTTGTCAATGAATGATAAAAAAGAAAAATGACCTCTATTTTGGGCATGAATATTTTTGTTGTTTTGAATATTAATCCAAAATATACAGTATCTTGTATAAATATCAATGATTGCAAATTAAAAACGGACAATAAAAACCTACAACTAACAAATACAAATAGTAATACTCTTTGGGCGGGCAAAAAACACGGGCACGA